TTTTGGCATCAAAACCGCAACACGGCAAACCTGGTACTTGGAACACAGATCTAAAGTAATATGGTAATGTGTTTAAATCCTTTAATATCAAGGGAACATAAATTTCAGGCTGTTCTCAAAAGTCTGCCAAAACCAGGTCTGATACCAAGTGCAATATTTCAAAGAAAAATTTCAACAAACACAAATTTAGCAAATAGGAATTTACCTACCCAAAAAGACACCCTGACATAGAAGGCATCCCAACACCACGGGAGCCACGAGTAAATACTGACTAGTCCTAACTAGTAGGTGGAAATATATTTCATTAGTATCTATCTAATTATGGTATAAATTTGGTTTGAGACACAGATTTAATAGCTAGGTTCGATATAAAATAGATTTATGGTTTTTAATTTAGTATTTTAGAAGCAAAGTTAGGGTCTGACAAAACCCACTCAAGTCAACAGAAAGTCTCATGCTAGCTTAAGTAGGCTTTAGATCAACTCCCTGGTGAGCACAGGCATTCACAGTTGCCATCACCTTCACGATGAGTCATTAAAAGATGAGTTTCTACTTCAGATTGCTTTTCTAACACAAAATTCAAAGCCTTCACATTATATCCAAATAGAAATATTTACACAAGATGTGTATAAATATAAAGTTTATTCAGTATAGTGTTTAGAAAAATAAGTTCACATCATCTCAGAATACAAATAAAACACTTAATTGTCCAGGCACAAACCCCTATTACAGTACAACAAACATACATACTTTAGATCTCTTTGGTTGGGTAATTAAGCACAGATATGTTTGATGATACACTCTGGGGCGGCATCATCTAACAGTGCAGTGAAGACTTCTGATTATTCCCTCCTGTAATGCGTACATTCCGCTTAAGTTTCATATTTGTTGTAAGGCACAATAAACCCATATCGCAGAAATAACTGGTTAGTTCTGGACAAACAGTACATGCAGCAAAAGAACAAACATCCTCTGAACGTGAATCCTGAAAGTCAGAAGATTCACCCCCTCCTTGAGTTCAGAAATGTAAGAAGCTAGTTTTAAATTATATGAAACATACAAGTAAGGTATAAAATATCCTTCAAGATAATAACTGCTAGGAGATACAGGAAGACTTCAGGTCTCGTTGCTTGTAAAATGTCATTACTTTTGTTTCCAGAGTTATAAAATTACTATTCTTTTTATGATTTGAGATGGTTCTCGACCACAAGCACTAGGCAATTCATGCCCCCGGGAGTCCCGCACATGTATTTCATACGAAACTGAAGGGATGCAACTCTCTTGGTTGTTCATCTGCCCTTACTAAGAAAAGTGCGCAGGCACTGGAAATCTACATATGGGAAAAGCTCCTGTGCACACAGGGCCAAATTCTGCCCTGCTTAATTTAACTGCAACATTTATTGAGGTGATTTTGCAGGATTTGAAGTCAGAATCTGTCCATTATTGTCATTAATCTCAGATTGATAGTAGTAACAATAAGGATGGTTCCAGCCTTACTTCTGGAAAAGTAGCTTTCTGAACGCGTCTTCCTGAATCCACAGGCAGGGTAAAGCAGTAAATGGAAAGAGGTATATGCTTCGGTAGACTGTGACCGTTCGGTTATAACTGTCTGAGTGTCAGCCTTGTGCACTGGTTCATACTGCCACCGTATACCGGGCCAAGTCCGTCCCTGACCCAACTCCAGTGAAATGAATGGACCATATTCTCGGCTGGTGTGAAAGGACATTAAAGTCAATAGAACTGTGCTAGTTCAGCCCAGCCGAGGACCTGGCCGATAGATGTCCGTGATTTATGTGGCTGAAATGTTCTTTTAGGTAAGACCACAGGAATAAAGCTGCAAATAGTCCAGACAGAGCATTCAATTTAACGTATTTCTGGTTCTCTGCATGACTCTGGGCAAAACAGAGGCAGCTTTAATTAAAAGTAGTAAGAACAAAGGGTTTTTTAACACCATGCTTTGTAGGAATTTGCTTAAACTTTAAGTGTATTTTTCAAAGCTGAGTCTGGGACCAGAAAAGTAGTAGAATTTGGCAATGTTTCCTGTAAGATTTCCAGTGGACTTACAAGTTACAAACATATGTGAAGTTGAAATGATCCTTTATTCTCATCCGTAACAGAGAGGGAGGGAGGAGAAGGAACATGTATGCCAGATAGACATACCTTCCATTTAAACAACAGAACGTGATAATAAGGACTGTCCGTAGGGCTTGGACACTCACTGGCATTCACGCGCGTGGGACATGAGCATCCATATCCCCTAAACACCGTGTAAAATCCTCAGTTTGGGAATCAGTGGAGCAATGCCTTATTTACAGCAGCTGAAGATCGGGCCCCAGACACTTTTCAGGGCTTTGTGTACTGTCTATTTAGAGCAGTTAGCCTGCTTGCTTGAGGGCCACATCATAAAAACTGACCCTTATTTTACAGTAGGAGTAAAACTACTATTTAAATATCTATTTTAAAAACACTGTACCGTGCAATGAGTCTTTATATTGTGCATATGTACCTGCAGAAAACATGAGGTTATAACTACGTTATCTGGAGGGAATGACACTTATTTTCAATGGGAGAAAGAAAGAGTAAAACATAGTAATAAAATAAGTTACTTGATATCTGGAAGACTAGAATAGATTAATCTTACTTTGTCCCAAACCACTGCTTTTATGTACATCCTCCACTCCCACTGAAGAGTGGGAAGTTTCCTATTAGATGTACCAGACACTCCAAGATACGCGCCACTGTAACAGCACACACAGTTTTCACGTCAACTGTGCTGCAAAGCCATGGCATTCAGAGCCTCAGTAACACAACAAATGCAAAGGAGGAAAAATTAAAAAAAAAAAAAGTAACAGATACTGGCGTAACACCACAGTCTTTTCAGTTATGAGACCTGATCGCATCAACAACTGAGAGAGTGCTCTGAAATAGTCTCTAGCTTGCCTCCAAATATAGTCTGAGCTTCACAGATGAAACGTTAAGCCCCAAACAACTCCTTCAGAGCCACGCACACATTCTCCATTAACATGACAATGATACAGGGTCCTCCTAATTTTCCAAACGGTTGAACAAATTCATGCAAAGCAGATACAGCTACTGTTATTGTCATCATCGTCTTGGTTTTATGAGCGAACAAGAGGTGGGAAGCAGATTGCTCATGCTGGAGCCCAGCAAACAGATAAACAAGCAGAGCAGAGAGGAGAACTCTGGACTATCCGATTCCCTGCTCAGGCGGAGATCCCCTGAATGTCAAGGGAAGTTGTGCTGGGGAACATATAGCTCCATGCTTTGCTTGTGATAATCTCCACTTTAAAGCACTTGCCTTAAACACCCTTTTTGCTTGGTAGCACATGGGGACAGCCAACTGCTTATGGGCTGCTTCTGTTTGCAGAGCATCAGTGACTCGGTACAGCTGCAAAGTGCACGCCTTGCACAGTTGCTCTTCCCTTTCCCTGCACTTTTTCCCTGCAGCCCTCGAGACTCTGGCTCGCAGCGTGGACTCCGGTGCTTACCGACAGAGCTCAGCTTTGAGGTTCCACAGAATACCTTGCAAAACACACTGTATTCAATATAGTGCAAAACAATAGCGAGGATGCCTATGCCATGCTCACGGCGCACAGAAAAAAACCTTCATTCCTCAAAGGCTTTCCACAGAACCAGTTAACAACCAAGACAGAAACAGACTGGGATGTGCTACCTCTATTCTCTTTCCTTCCCATTTTTTTGTCCTTTACAAGTGATCTTGTTTTGTCCTGAGCCTGATTCGGAGCCCACAGAAGCTTATGAAAACACTTCCCATTGCCTTCCAAAGGCTTCAGACCAGGCCCCTGATGAGGATGAATACATGCTGTAGTTACTGTATATATTCACATTAGAATAAAAAAATAACAAAACAAAACCACAAAGATTAACAGCATGTCATTCTTGTACATCTGCATTCTTCTTATTATTTTAAAGCTTAAGGATGTGCTTTTCCATGCTACAAAAACTCCTCTGGAGGAAAGGTAAGATCTGTTCCACCTGCCCAGAGCCTGCCTGCTTCTGCTGTCCCCGACGCACCACAAAGGGGCGAAGGGAGAGGAGACCCATCCCCAGCCAGGCAGAGACCACGGCTGCTCCCACGAGCCCTTCGGGCAGCTGCAGTTCCCACCATCAGCCCCCGTGCTGCTTATTCTGGAAGGAAATATAAATACACGTTTAAGTGCACTCCTGGATGGGGGCCTGCTTGCTTGAACAGCAGCTGAAGCCCTCCCACACGGGCTATTTGGCCAATGGGTCTGTGTAAACATGGGGCTCCCTTCCCTGGCCTGCCCATCCAACCTTTCCTGCTCATCTGCCCGAGGCTGGAGCCAAGACCTTTCCCTCGGCATGACAGCTCTGCCCATGGTCCCTCTCTGGACTCCTCCTGCCCTGCTGACGGGGTGCGGAAGGACCTATCTTTGGCTCTCTGCACTGCTAGTAAATGTCACCCACGATGACCAAAAGACTTAGAACTCTTCTTACTCGTGCAAGTAGGGGGCACCGAAGTCAGCGGGTCTACTTGCAGAAGTAAGGCATCAGGATTTGGCCCTGAGGACGGATATTTGCAAATCAGTGTTTTTATTCCTCCTGCCAATGTGCTTTAGTAACAAAGATAAGGCCACTAGGAAGAAGGCACGTGGAATTCTGTAAAAAATACACAAAAAGGTTCAACTAATTCGCAAATTACTAACAAAACAAAGAAAAAACCCCTGAACACAAAGACAGAGGGGGTAAAGACAGGGACCTCCTGGGTTTGTGAGACTGGGAGTTCATTTTCTAGTTTCAGTGTGATTAACATTTTACTTTTACAGTCTATTGCTTGAAAAACTACAAAAAAGTAAAACCTTGTCAGAAATAACTACGTTTACTTCCTGCTCAAACAATAAAAATAAATTAAACAGCCAGAAAACGTTTTCCTTTTCAATGCATTGTGTCTAAAGTGAAAGGGAACATAAACCATAAATAAAATCCATTGTACTAATTTAAAAAAAGTCTCCTTTATAAGAACTGAAACAATATTTACATTCATACTGGAGAGAAAGCTTCTGAGTTGCATAATCAGAGTTTCGAATGATGCTTTTTCTGGTGCACTGACAAAATGCTAGTTGTAGCATTTAGAAACCTGTAAATGTTTGATGTGAGATTTTTGGTTTGAACGCAAGTCTGCTGGGAAAAAAGCAAACACACCAGTAACAATATTATTTATGATTTTGTTTCGTTTCTTAACCTCAAACAACATAAAAGTAGCCGGTGAGGTATCGTCTAGAGTTCCTTAAAAATTTCTCAATGCCCATGGACTAGAAGTAAACAGCAAAAATGACTGCATTGTTTCTACCTTTTCGGAGCGAGATTTTTGTTTTCTATCTAAAGTTAGGAGTGTATACTTACTGTTGAGAGTATGTTGCACTACGGAGAGTCTAGTTAAATTATCAGGGTAGTATCTCTTAGCCAAACCTGTACCCATTCGCTCGGTACTTGCCCTGGCATTTCCTTTCTCCTTTAATCTGCTTAAAAGAGAATACTGCATGCAAACCAAGTGTGGCAATCTAATTCCATTGCTGGAGATTCCTCTGTACATTGATTCGGACCATTTAAATGTTCTTCTATTTTCTTTAAAAGAAAAAAAAAAAACCACCAAACAAAAAAAAAGACCACTTGGTGCTTGTTAGGGCCTCAACAGGAGACTTATCTATTAAAACAGAAAGCAAGAAAAAAAAACATTACAAGTCTTGCATATCTTCATCCATCTGAACTGTCTGCAGTTTGGCAAGTTCTTTTTTGTCCGTTTCCAGTTCTTCACAAACCGTGTCAACCATGTTACTCATAACATACTTGGATTTCGAATCCAGCATCATTAAATTGCCAGTTGACTTACTCTCAGAATTAGGTAAGAAATTCTCCTTGACGTCAGGTACGGCTTGCAGAACTAACCTGTGCTCCCTGACGAAATCTTGATGTACTTGTGCAGAGGGGTGGCTGACACGGTCTCCGCCTGTAGAAACTATTTCTCCAAGTGCGGGCTGTGCTGTAGAAATGGACAACAGATCTTGACTGGTAATGAGGGAACAGTTCTGAAGGGTTGCATAGTTAGTGTTGCTGATAGATATCACGGTAGAGGTACTGGTCACGGGCGATGACATGGACTGGCTCTCCGAGATACCAGAGTTCAGTTCTGCAGCATTCAAAAGAGTTGGTGGTGTGAGGGAAAAATTATGTGAGGGCGTTACATTCACTAACGAGGAGGCCAGGGACTGGAGTCCTCCGCTGGGTATATTTTCAGAAGACATGTTTACATTTAGTTGCGTGTTCTGACTGACTGGCATCAACTGAGAAAACACAAGGCTTCTTTCCAGTCCTTCCTGCTTGACAGAGCCTACTGCCTGGCCTGAATTGGGAACCGTATAAACGACTGCACTCGGAGCGAGGGGGCTGAAGAAAACCTTTCCTTGCTGCACTGTTGAAGACTCAGTTGTAAAAGTTCCTCCATCAGATGTGGTTGGATTTACTGAAACATTACCTAGAGAAAGGGAAGCAAAAGAAAGAAAAACACGGATTATAGTTGGCAGAGAGTTGTGCAGGCATTTTGTTAAGACGTTTTGGTCTTTTTTATGTTTGCAGTACACACATATGCTAATATTTCATGCAACACAGAACGGCGTTGTTTGTAACAGGTGAGAGAAAATTTGGTATGAAGAAACAAAAGCCATTAATAGAAACTGCTTCTAGAAAGGGAAAAAAAAAAAGGTTCTGGTATATTAGGTTTCTTTTAGACTCTCATTAAGGGGCAAACAGTCCCTGGCCATGTGATTCAAATGAACGTGCTTTGGCCTTCACTAGTTGCCACCACTCAACTTCTATCTAAGAATAGAAGCATGAAAAGCTATTAAAGATAGTTCAGTGACAGACTACGGCTTGTGTGTGGGAAACTCGAGACACGTCACATGAAATCCACTACAGCTGGGCAGAACCTACCAGAGTCAACCTGCAGGGAAAACATCAAAAACCAGTAACTTCTACCAGGTTAACTAGGTAGTCCATCAAGCATTCATACATCTTGCCTTTCACCTCGCTTTATCACATATTTCTAAAAGCCTAACCCTACCACATCCACCACACTGTGTAAAGTCACCTAGCAACTGCCTACCCTCGCTGAAAGCCATGGCACCGCTCGCGTGATGTTGTAGCTAGCCAGAGCAAGAAGCGGTGGCGAGAGATGACCTGAAGTTGGTTGTACTGGACATGCCATGTAAGTTGTCATTACAATCATTCCCAAAATAAGATATTCTGGCTTGCAGGACTGGGTCTCACTTCAAACGCCTCTCTTTCTCGAAAGCAACTTAGTTATAATTTTAAGAGTTGGAGACACCTCAATTTTTTTTAGAACAGCACTGAAGATGCATTTCTCACCTGAGGAATATTTTAGCTCCCTATTCATTTCCATTAAATGACAATTTTTTGGAAGAAGTTACTCACGTGTAGACTAGAAGAATAAAGCGAGGCAACTTGAAGTTACCTGGCAATAAGATATCATTTACTGAAGCTCACTTAAAATAGCCTGCAGCACACTTCACTTGGAATAGGCAGCCAGCTATCCATCCTTCTTGTGTTAAGAAAAACAAGAAGAAATCAAAGCAGCAAATACGGATCTTGACTTTTCTCTGTACCAGACTAGACATATGGTAGATCACTCTTCAGTGGAAATTGGTATTTTTAACAATGGGGAAAATGTTCAGAGAAGAACTTACAGGATCTTCTAATTTTGCATCCATTTAGAATGTGTTTGTACGGCTTCAGTGTTCCTCCCCATTATTTAACAGCAAGAATAATTCACTCCCTGTACACGTTTAATTCAAATAAGCTAACATGAGCACAGTTTGATTTTCATTATAGTACTCACGGCTCCTGAAACTAGAGAGATTCATTCAAGTTTAATCATTTTCATAACCAAAGATACAGTGGCTAATGAGTAACAATGCTGTTCAGTTGTGCTTTATAACTGACCTGCTTCAAAACAAGGATCCAGAACTAGGCTTGCGCTCCCTGGCATTCTTCCTGGCCGGCCGCAGTTTCAGTCTACGGTATGTTAAGACAAACTCTAAAGCAAACTTGGGGAGGAGCCTGCACACTTGGCACGTGAACCTGCGATGACATATTTCCCTTGGACTGAGGGCAGTTTATCCAAATAACCTCACGTTTTGTATCTACGAGCTATTGCATATTTCTATTGTTTCCCTGCAGTTTAATCTTTCTTTATTATAGGACAGAAAACGTACGAGCATAACTGCTTGGTCTTGTTGTGTCTATAGTCCTTTAAAATTTATTTTTATGAAATGCTTTGGTTAAAAAAAACAAAAAACAAAACAACCACCACAAGAACAACAACGGTAACAATTTCCAGCTGCTGCAATTTTCATTTTTATGAACCTTCTCATTAAAAGAATTCAATGGCAAATGGGGAATATTTTGAATTACCGAAACGTGTAAAATTTACAGATATTTGTGAAGACTAGTCTCACAGACTTCTGAGAACAGCATGAGATGAAAGGGGTGTAAAATACCAGACCTCCTTCTCTGCTCTTAGCAGAGGAGCTCAGCCTCATGTAACAGTCTGCCCACGAGCGCAACCCATTATAAAGGAAGGCAAAAGGTATTATTTGATATACTGCGTGTGGCTGCGGCTGAGATAAAATGCTGGTACCTCGGAGGAAAAGTACCATGGCTTCTAAAATGCGAAGCGTGCCCGATCCCAACTTTTCCTTGTACCTCTCACTGTAACAGACAAAACTTTTACCTTGTGAAGCTGCCACAGAAACGGGAGGCAGCTGCAGAGAAGAAAAACCGATGCTTCCGTTCAGCAGCTGGCCATTTGTTCCTGAATTGGGGATCTGGACAATGCCATACTGGTTTATTTGGACAGGAGCAGTAAAAGTAACTACGGAGCCTCCATCTTGGGAAGCAGCAGTTTGTACGCTTTCCCTTTTCACCTCTGAGCTCGGTATCAATCCTGGGAATGAGACCGGTATGTTGCTGGGGCTGAAGGTGGCCGTCGCGGCATTGGGGACCGAAGCCTGAAGGAGTTTGAAGTCCTTAACATCTTCTGACGAAGATGACAGTATGTCAGTAATGGACACCCCGTTGCTCACAACGCTCGACGTGGTTTTGGGCGAATTTAAGGTAACCGTCTGCGAAGCCCCCACACTGAGTCCATTCAGAATGACACCGTTGGGTCCCTGAAGAAAGGAGCTACCATTGAGAAAGACGGGAGAGGTACTGGCAGGCACGAGGTTTCCATTCAACAAGACACCAGATGAGCTCAAGGCTATTTTAGTGTTTCCGAGCTGCTGCATGTAGACGGGCTCCATGTGGCCGGGAAGGCTGAGGCTAGTAACGCCGTCGGATGAGCTGGAGAGTGGATGGGGAGATAAATCCTCCTGCCCCTTACTGGATTCATCTTCTGTGCTAGGGTTGCCGTCTGACTCGCTATGGGAAAAGACGGAGAGATGACATTGCATTACCACGGCATGCCAGCGAGCTCTGCACCAAGGGAGACTCCTTGCTTTCATACAGTTTGTGAGAGTTTTCCCGAATAATTTTTTCTGTGTTTTGCCTTTTACAAGGCACTTTAAACGAATTTCAAGTCAAGGGGGAGGCTTCCTAGAAAAGGACACATCAAGGAAACACCAACCCAGCCGCTCGCTGAGGAGAAACTTTACAGACTGGCTTATGGACGTGTAAATAAATCCCGTCTCCCTGGCCATCCGACCCGGGCGACTGAAGGGGGCTGCCTGGGGCCCCCCTCCGCCGGCCCAGGGCGCCCACA